GTACCATCAAGATTTTTTAAAATTTGCTGGAGATAATCAGAATCACTTTTCCCAATCTCAAGGAATCTCAAACAACATTTTCGACTATGTTCATTCTGAATTCATGCCAAATGTAGCCTAACACCCATCTCTAAAATAGTATGCTTGTTCAATTTAATTAGGAATGCATGAAACTGAGGGAAGAAGAGAGATTTGTTTTCCCCTGCAGTGGGACCTCCATATAGGTGGGCTGGCAATCTGCATTTTTGCAGATTCCCATGTCCCATATTGTTCATTGGTGGTGCATGCATGCATATGTGCTGATGTATCCACAGACATGTCACCATCATTAAATAATATGGGGCACAACTGTCTGCATTTTTTTGCTACCTGCGGAGGGGGAGAACTGCACCCACACAGATGGGAAGGGCCCACTATATTTGGCATAGTCTCTCATATCAAGTACAACAAATCCCAGAGTTCCTTCTACATACAAGAAGTAGTGATGCCTGGTGGAAGCACCATAAGACAATGGAGCAAGTACTGTTTCTTTTCTATCATAGGATTTGCAGTCCTCCAGGGAAGTGTCTAGATCACTCAGAATCAGTTTCAATGCAACTTTGACTAATGTCATCAGCACATTAGAGAACACATTCAAAATAACAATATTTGTTTTACATGCTATTTATTCCTAAAATATATGACACCAGAGTCTGAGGGACTGGAAGAAACTTCTAAATGCCTGTTTAATGAGTTTAACACAGATCTTTGTGAGAATTTTCTTGGTGAAGTGTTACATTTGAAAAAGAAACTTAAGTATACTTTCAGAAAAGAATATTATATTAAATATTTATTTATATTTATATTAGTAAATCAGATTTACAAGAAACAACTGTCATTCATTTTCAGTGAAGTGTGCATGGCCCTGTGGATTTTTTGCATACTGCAAGTGACTGAAATAAGCTGAAAGAATTTCAAAAAGATAACATTCAGAAAAAACTGCAGGAGTTCTACAATGGGGCAAGAACAGTTAAGTCATCTTTTCTATTTAATGTGAAAAGAAATTGACTGGGAAGAAAATGACAGCAGGAGAGGCTATTTCATGATTTTCCAATGGAAAAGACCAAAAATATAAAGCTTTCCAGTTAATTGGCCTAATGTTTGCAGCCACATTGGTTTACTGAATTAAAAAAAAATCAGGACATAGTCAGGGTTAATATTTTTATTCATGACCAAGAAGTTATAAAATAGTTACCAACCTTGCAGAACTCTCAGGCAAAGTGTTATTATCAAGCCAAAGTAGCAAAGGCAAGTGTTTTTCTGTAATGTAGAATATATACCATTAATCCCAGAATTAAAACAAACATTTTCCCAGGGTCATGAGATGATATGTAAGGATTGGAGTCATAGTGTAGGAAGAGTCACCTGTTACATGTTTATACTGTACCCCTTCCTCCAAGATACCTGACAGAAGTAAACAAAAGCAATGCAGATGTGATCAAACTGTGGACTACAGTCTAATCTGTACTACAGAAATAATGCAGTTTAATTTTTGTGGGTTTTTTTGAGCTGTGTGGCCATGTTCTAGAAGAGTTTCTTTCTGACGTTTCGCCAGCATCTGTGGCTGGCATTTTCAGAGAAAGATGCTGGCGAAATGTCAGAAAAAAATTCTTCTAGAACATGGCCACACAGCCCAAAAATTCCACAAAAAACTAAGGATGCCGGCCATGAAAGCCTATGACTTCACAATGCAGTTTAAACTCTGTCATGGTTCCATGATATGAAATCATGGTTTTGTAGTTTGTTGTGATAACAGAGCTGTCTGACAGAGAAGGCAAAATATCTCACAAAACTACAAATCTCAGAATTCCATACCATGGAACCATGGCAGTTAAAGCAGTCAAATTGCAATGCAGATTTCTGCAGTGCAGATTAGACTTACAACGCAAGAAATGCCAGCAGTATGTACCAGGTGGGGGAAAGTATGCTGTTTTGGGACACTCTAGGCTTCACACAAACAATGGGGCTATACAAACTGACACCGTGTGCCAGCCTTGGGGTAGAGTGGGGGCATGGCAACTACCCACCACCCACCCAAACACCGCTCTGATGCCAGTATCACACCACCTGACTGACCACAGGGTGGGTGGCATCACACCATTTCTTTGCCGCAGCACTTAGACGCATTGTACCAAATACATATGGAAAAGCCGCCATCGCAGCAGCAAGGGCAGATTTTTGCCACTCTAAAAAGGTGCAGCATTTTTAGAGCAGCAAACTGTTGGATTGGGGCCATACTGTGCGGTTACCACGGACCCAATCTGGCAAGGAAAGGGGCTGCCAGAGGCCATTCTATTGGGGCCATCTGTTGGGCTTCAGTGTCTACTCAACCTCACTGTGGAACTAGCCAATCCCACACAATGAATCTTTCATGGAAAGCAAGAGGTGACAGGTTTCCACTGCAGAACATTAACAATAATGAGGGGTCAGATTTATAAAGCAGCCTGCTCATATCTTTCCTGGGGGTGGGGGAACAGTTGGCATTATTCCATTCTATTGGCAAGCAGTAGTTTTGTGTCCATAGCAAGTAGGCAGAGAAAAATCTGGTTGGCTGCTATACAAATTAGGGAGTAGCTTTAGCTTAAATTAACCTATTAAGTAGTGTGTGTGTGTGTGTGTGTGTGTGCGCGCGCCATCAAGTTGCCTGTCAACCTAGGGTGACCCTATGAATTTCACAGAGTTTTCTTATGCAAGGAATACTCAAGTGTGGTTTTATCCATTCCTTTCTCTGAAATACAGCCTACAGCACCTGGTATTTGTTGGTGATCTCCCATCCAAGTATTAACCCCTGCTTAGCTTCCAAGATCAGATGGCTACCGCTCCCAGACTTTGGAACGGCCTGCCGGATGAGATCCATCTT